AACATTGTGGCAAGGCCCTAGCACAGCACACCAGACGCAGAAAACACAGTATCATGAATAGGTTGGCTGCAGGTTCTGGAAATTGGAGGAGGGCTTTTGACTGTTCCAGGCTGAACAATTCAGGGGTAGGCTAATATTAATCCAATCTTCAAAGGCACCCATTGGTGTCTGAATTACATATGTATATGATACTAATATTAGTAGATCCCATTTATTTTATTTTTAAAAATATTTTACTTATTTATTTGAGAGAGAGCAATCACAATCATGGGAGGGATAGAGGGAGAAGCAGACTCCCCACTGAGCAGAGAGTTCAATGTGGAACTTGATCCCAGGATCCTGGGATCGTGACCTGAGCAAAAGGTAGACACTGAACTGACTGAGCTACCCAGGCTCCCAATAGATTCCATTTATCGAGTAATGTGCTCTATGTTTTTCATATGTATTATCTCATTTGGATTCTATTTTCATAACAACTGCAACAGGTAAGTAGTATTACTACTTCTACAGGGTTCATTCCTATTATAAGTTCTTATAAGTTCTTTTTTTTTTTTTTAAACTCCATGTTCAGACTAAATAACTGTGGAATAGTGTATAGTTCCCTGAACTTCCCAAGGAAGTTAAAGGAATCAAAATAAACTGAAAAGGAAACTGCGGTGCAGAGTACCTGACAGCTTAACTCCTAAGCTTACACTCTTGGTCACTGTACGTTCTCAATCTTCTCTCCCATCTACCCATCCATCCATCCATCCATCCATCCATCCATCCATCCATCCTTCCACCCATCCATCCTTCCATCCATCCATTTGGACATATACCTTTCTGACTATATCCTTATCCACTTACAGATGTAATTCTTTTTTGAGTGTGGGGGGTTAGATTAGATCATCTAAAACTTTTCCTCCAGGTCTTAGGTTCTATGAAGTATATTTCACCTTAGACTAAATTGTGTTTATTTTCGGCAGGGTGTTTGACTTTCTAATTAAGTTGCTCGGATTCATTTTAACATATGTTTCAGAGCTGGCATGGGTCTAGGAGATAGCCCAGTCCAAGTTCACCATTCTGTGAGTAAGACAAAGTGACTCACTAAAGCTCATCCGGTCCAGAGCTTTGCCAGGATACCATTCTGTTTCAGACTATTTTTGAACCATGGCTACATGGCGAGTGCTGAATAAGGACAACGATCCAGATAGGCTATGAGCAAGAGGGAATGGCAGCCTGGAATCAGAACATCATCTGGTTTTTACCTCACTTATATGCCAAGGGCCAATGATGACAATGATGATGATGGTGGTGGCAATGGTGATGAGGCAATGTCTCTTGTGATTCACTGGGCCCTTGTATCAAAAGGGATATAGATTCTTGCTTCCTGCCAACTAATGCGTGATTCATTCCTGAAAGATGCCTACCTCGTTTAAAATGTCCCAGGAAGCTTGAAACCTAGTCTCTATCTCTTCCTGATTTGAGCCATTGTTCCCTCCTGTTCTGGGTGTTTATTCTTTTTCTCCTTTTTACAAATGAATTCCTATAGAATAGCACATAGTTCCCTGAACCATACAGCAAAAGGAAGTTGAGTGAAGCAAAAAAAAAAAAAAAAAAAGTAAAGTACATGTTCTTGGGCAACAAGACATTGATGATAAATCGAAAGCTGGGTTTGGAAATAGAGACGCTGGCTTCACTGAGACACAAACACCATATTCACACAGATCCCTTTCTTTCCCAATTCCAGGAATCCTGGCGTGGGTGAAATTGAGTCACCCGGAGGGGTGCCAGAACCTAGTTGGTACTTTGGACTTTTACTTGCAGCAAAATCTCTCCCATTTCCTCTCAGAGCTGAATTGGTTGAGCTCTCGGCTTCCAACCCTGTCTCCATTTGGTCCCCTTTGAGAAGGAAGAAATAAGATGCAGGGGACAATACTATCATTTATCGAGTATCTACAGTATGTCAGGCACTGAGTTTTACATATTTTATGTCACTTATTCACCTCAATGATATTGAAAGGGTGGTATTATTATCCTCATTTTACAGATAAGAACTCCAAGGTCAGAAAGTTAGAGCACCAGCCCCAGGGTTCCCAAATTGGCAAGTGATAGAGGTCAAATTGAGCCCAGATCTATATGCTTTATAGTCACTCACATGAGGAAAAGAGCATGGCTCCTCAGATTCCGAGTTGGACATGATTTCTCCTGCTCGTCCCACTGGTCTCCACCTTCTCTAGTCTGTGAGTTTCACCTTTTGACAGTATGACTCTCCTCCTCCTCCACATATGATCACAGATCAGGGATGGAGTGGTTCGTCTTCCATGCTCATACAGATTGTAGATCTTAAATCTTCAGCTCAAGCTTTAACTCATAACATCAAGTAGGGTGTGCTCTCCCTTTCTTCACCTGCCCTTTCTTCCATGGAATTAATACCTTCTTTTGTACATGTGTGCAAAGCCAGGTTTCAAGGCGGCCTCTGGCAGACCATACTTCCCACGATGGAGAGAGGCACCTGCGACGTGACCGGGCCCCTCCCCTGACTTCTGTGTAGGCTAGCGCTTGGCCCCGCCACACCAGGACAGGGTACGGCACCCCCAGCGTAATACAAGAGGGGTGATTCAGCTGTCAACACACTTAAGGGTACAGATCCCACCAGGCCAGGCTGAGAAGCCAGCTCCCCTCTTGGTAGATAGTGTGTTTCCAGTAGCCTCAAGACTGCAGCAGGCTAGAGCAGAGTTACAAGGCCAAGTGGTAGTAGAGCTGTCACACAGGTTTTTGAAATCAAAGGAATGGCCTTTACAAACTTCCATCCAAAATCTTTCAAGAAGGGACACACACAACAGTGAGCCCACTCTTGCCTCCACCCCACTGGTCAAAGCTGAAAGAAGAGCAGTCCTCCATGGAGAAACGAGGCTGGATAAAACTCCTCCCGTGGGTCTAGCCTCACCTTCAGGATGGCAGATGTCCCTCTTCAAAATGAGGACAGCTGGGTTTGGGTTGATATCCTATTCTTGAATCGCAAAGACTATCCTAAGAGTCAGACATGCCCTCTAGAGGGTTAAGGACCTGGGGAAGCAGGAAGGGAATTGCTCAGGGAACGGGCATGTCACCAGCTGAGGTATGTCTGTTGGAGACGTTACCTTTACCTGGGAGTAAGGATTTAAGAGGAGAAACTCACCCACCTGGGTTGATGCAAGGGCCCCCAGTTTCCTACCATGTCTTACTTTATGGGTAGCACCGAGTTTCCCTATCAATCAAGCAATTAAAAAAAAATAAAGTGATCGTTCCTAGGTCCTCTTGAAATATGCACATGAAACAGTTGAACCCAACACAGCACGTGTCAAACAGTCCTCCAGAAGGGGGCCTTCTCTCTCTGGGGGAGTCTGTAATAAAGAATGGCTTGGCCAGTTCTGCGAGTCTCTATCAGCTCTGACAGACCCGGTCCTGACCCAGGGCCAGGGAAGCCACAGGATTTTGGGTGTGTGTGTGGGTGAGAGTGTATACAGAAACTGTCACACCCACACCCCACATACCATGACAGGGTGGAGCCATTTGTTGTCTGTACCTTAATCTTTTCATCATTTTCAGAAATACTATGCTTTGACAATGCTGGGTCCCTAAGGACACAGCCCAGAAATATTCAACCGACCTAATAGACACCTTTCCAATAACAGTTCCCCTTATTTGCCCCTCATATCTGGGGATCCTACCTTCTAACCACAGCCACGAATGATATTTATCTCCTCAGGGGAAGCAGGGGTCATGTCTAGCTCTGCCTGCTTTCCAAGCGTGTATCCACAAGCCTATACCACCCACTCCTATTACCTACCCTTTCTTGGCGTTTTGCCATGTTGCACAACGTGGTCAGGGAATTAGGGTTCTAGTAAGTTATTAAAGTGCTACTTTCCAAAGACATCATAGAAAAAACAACACTCAGTATGGTCTTGAACAATGTTTAATCTCTGACGTTTGAGAAGACACTTCAGAATCTTGAAGGGCCTGAGGGTTGAGCCTTTGACAGTGACCACAGGTGACCTGAGGTGACAGTGACCTGAGGGTGCCACGTGAGAGAGGCGGCACGCAGCGTGGAATGAGAAGCCGGGGACCCCACTCTGATAGTGCATGGCAGAGTGACCACGGATGAGTTGCTTGCCTTCCCCAACAGTGTGGGACAGGAGAAGCTCATCCTAAGATTCCTCCCAGCTCTGATAGTCTGTGAATAACTCGCAGAGAATGTACTGGGTTGCCTTCCCATAGAGACGGGAAAAAAACTACGTGCAGTAATCAGTAGCAGGGACAAAGGCCTCAGATAGCTCTTCGGTGTTTCTAAAGATTCAGGGCTTGGACTCCCGTCCCTGCACTGGCCCAGCCCTGGGGTCAGTCCTGTGTGGGCTGAGGTAGGGAGCAGGAGATCAGGAATGGCAGAGTCAGGGACCACTACTCGGTTTATGCTTCCAAATTCATCAAGCCCACAGACCAGGGTAGTCCCTGGTAGAAGCGTGCTGGGTGGTTACTTGTCCTGCCTTCTCAGGCCAACCAGAGCTCTCCCACTCCCAGTCCTCAGAGAGTTTTAGTTACAGGGATGTGCCCTGTCCTTGGGACTGGGGACAGTGAGAAGGGGACAGTGAGGACAGTGACAGTGTCACTGGGGACAGTGACAAACCTGCTCCTCCAAGCCGCTGTCCAGAAGTTCAGAAGCGAGAGAGGGATCCCGCAAGGTGAACCAGTCCCCTTCCATACCAGGATTCCGGCAGACCCACATTTCATAAGATCCTGCATTTGCCTAATGTCACTGGCACAGCCATTGTCTCATCTGCCTTTTTTTCTCAGGCTTAGCCACCCCGTCCCCTCAGTTCTGGCTGGGTTGAACTCTCCCCGGGGTAAGACGATCTCCAACACAAGCAGAACTCTGAGCAATGACTCCTTGTGTCATATAAATAGCTTCAGTGATATATATATATATAGCCTATATATAGTACACACGCACACACACGCGTGAGCACACACACACTCTGTCTTGTGGAAATCATCTTCAGGATGATTTGGGCAGGCACTCATTGGCACAATCACTCTGAATATAAACGTATGTGTGTGTCTGGAATCCCATCTCTCCTTGCCCTTTGCCTCAGAGAGAGAAGCGCACTGGAGGGAAGCCTGCTCGTGCCCAAGCTCCGAGCTGTTGTGGGGGAAAGGCCCCGAACCTCCTCCTGTTTGTCAGGGGTGAGGCGGGGGCTGTGGGGTGGCCGGCGACTACTCCTTCAACAGTCCCAGCTTCTTCAGAGCTTCCCTTCTGTGCTCATTGGGGATGCCTTTTGGGGAGATCCTGACACTGACGTAGGGGGGTCGAGGCAGCTTGTCAGGGCTCTGTCCTGGGTAGGGCAGGTGCCTGCTGCTCTGCTCCTGCTCCTGATTGGCCAGCTTGCCCACCTGGATGCCTGCAAAGTCCTTCCCCGTGCCCAGGGAGGCAGGGCGGGGCCGTGAGTTACGCCAGACATTAGGAGACATCTTGTCCAAGAAGGAGCCTTTGCCCAGAGAGGTGCTGGTTTGGGGGCTGGGGTCTTTCTCAGCCGAGAGGTAGCTGCTCAGCCCCACGCCCGAGCGCTCCAGAGTGTTGGACTTGAAGTTCATCTGTCTCAGGCCCGGGATGTTGCTCTCCTGCAGAGTCAACCCTGAGTCTGACTTTGGCTGAGTCAGGGGCTTACTTACCCCCGGGGCCTTAGGGATAGGAATTGGCACGGATTTGGCCGCTGGAACCTTCCCTGGAGTGGGTTCCTGGGCTCGAATCCAACCTCTGCCTGGAGGAGACCCCTGAGCTGGAGTGGGAGTCGGAGCCTTCCCTGGGGCGGTTCCCCGCGGCGGAGCTGGCGCTGGAGCCTTTCCTCCAGCAGGTGCCGCGGCTCTGCCCTGAGCTGGAACCGCAGGCCGAACTGGTGCTGGAGTCGGAAGGGGGGCCTGGAGCCGGGTGGAGCTGGTGCGTTTACTTAAGTGGGGGCTGGGTTCGTCCTGGTCCTGGGGTAGCCCCAGCTTCTCAAGTGCTTCTCGGCGTGCCTTCTTCTGCTCCTGCAGTGAGGACGGGGCCAGGCCCGGGTCTCCAGGGCCGGCCTCGGCGTGGCGGGCCAGCCAGTTCTGGGGCTCGCTGTGGAAACTGCTGCGACTGCTTTTCAGAACGATATTGGGGGGCAGTTTCCGGGGCTTAGAAGCTGTGAGGGGGGCCAGGTGGGCACCGGGGTCCCCCCATGATGGGACAGGAGCATCTTCAGCTCTCATATTCTGAGACGAGGTGGAAGTGGCTGGAGGAGGCCTAGGCTGTCCTGGGCCCCATGTTGAGCCTTCCTCATTGGCTTTTTGGGACATGGCCTCTGAGGAAGTCTCCTTGCTCTCCTGGGGGCTGAGTGACGTGTGTGTCTGCTGCCTGGGCCCTGTGGGCAGGCGGCCTCGCTCCTGCAGCTGCTGTGGCTCGGGCTGGGTATCCCGGAAAGCCTCTGGTGGAGGGATGGGCACTGTGTCCAGGGCTGGGGCAGGCGGCTGGGGGCTGGCAAGAGCCTGGCTGGGCTCACTGCTTTGGCTGACCTGCTCTGTCTCAGGCTCCGGGACAAGGCCCTCCACTTCCCCCGGGCTGTGGCTATGAGTCTGAGTGGTGCTTTTCCTGAGGTTCTGGTTGATGCTGATGTGGATATTTCTGGGAAGGCTATAGGACCCAGACCTGAGGCCCAGGTCTTGGAGCTCAGGAAGATGGGTTGAGCTGGGGTGAGTCCCTCTCTTTTGCTCTGGTTCTTGCTGAATGATCTTCTCCCCTGGATATCCTGCAAGGGGGCAGGAGAAGAGGCAAAGAAGAGTGGACAGAGGTGAGAACCCTGTTGCCCCCTGAAAAAACAAATGCTTCCTGAACTCTGATCTCCACTTAGCAATGGGTTTTGTTTTTTTGTTGGTTCTTTGCTCTTAAAGGGGCCGCACTGTTGCCTGGATATCATTTAGACCAACAGATGGACACCAGCGGATTTCCTACAACCACGAATTCGTTTCTCATTATGGTTGCAGAAAGAGCAGCCTCACGTAACTCCATGTCCTTGCCTCGAGCTCTTCCTAACTGTCCACAGAGAGAGCAGGGTTAGAAAGGGAGCCAGGACAGCCCCTCCAGCTATCCTGGGGCTCCCGGGTCACTGAGTCCAGGGGAAGCACTGAATGTGAATGGCAGTAACAGCTGATGTGGTTTGTCCAGACCTCTGTCTTCCTCCACCTTCAATTTCTTTCCTTTTTTTCTTTTTTTCAGATTTTATTTATTTATTTGAGATAGGGGAGGGGGTAGGGGAGAGAACATGTGCCCGGGGAGCGGCAGAGGGAGAGGGAGAAGTAGACTCCCCACTGAGCAGGGAGCCCTACTTTCGGGTTCCATCCCAGGACCCTGGGATCACGACCTGAGCCGAAGGCAGATGCTTAACTGACTGAGCCACCCATGAGCCCCCACCTTCAATTTCCATAAGCACCTGAATGATTCTGTGACACCACAGCTGTCCCCATACCAGACAGTGACATGGGCTCTTTCCTTCCAGCAAGCTAGGCAAGTGCATCAGGCCCCCTGGGCCAGGGAATCAGTCTCAGGGGGCAGAGAAGTCCTTGCCCCCATTTCCTGTTCTATCTCCACAGAGGGTCTAACACATTGTCAATCGGTATTTGTTAAATGAATGAACATGTGGTTGTGGTCCCAATACCAGTGGGGCTGTCCTCAGGAGTAAAGTGCCCCCCTCATTCTGAGACAGTCTTGGCCACACTTGCGTGCCATCCTGTCCCCCTTTCTATGGAGCCTCAATACCACTGGTTTTCCACTCTTGCACAAGAGCCTCGAGGTACCACCCACTGAAGTTAAGGAAGCGCTTCCCTCTTATCTCTTGCAACCTGATCCTCCTGGGTCATCCCGATTAGGTCTCCCGGCTAGTTTACTGTCCCCAGAGCCACCACCCACCCCTCCTGGAATCCCTCCCCCACCTCTGTGGTGATGTCTCTTTAGAATTTCTCTGTGAGAGAATGGGAGCTGGCCAAACCCTTTTCCCTCCCAGGCCTCTGATACTTCATAGAAAGACAGGCAGCTGGCTTGTCCTCAGTCCCTCCTCCTCTCCAGGGCAAGACCTTAATTCTAGCCAGGAGAGCGGAAAGGAGTGCTGTTGTCCTTCCGCCTGTGACCCTTAGAGCAGAGGGCAAATAAGGTGCAGAGCAGCCGTAAAGATGTACTGGTTTTCTGGATTTGTGAAAGGTGTCACCCCAGAAGGTCTCTCTTACCCTGGGGAGCAGGCTGGCTTATGGGCAGAGCTCGGGGGCCTTGGGGAGCTGTGTCCTGCTCAGACTCATCAGTAGACAGTCCGCTGTCAGCCTCAGTGTCCAGTGAGCCGATGGTCTCCTCCAGGAAGAGCAGACACTCTTTCTCTTCAGCGGACAGGAAGTCGTAGCTGCTGTCACTCTGGAATGAGGTGTGGAGAACAGAGAGGGAGAGGGAACTGTGAGAGGCAGCTCCACAGAAACTGGTGGGGCTGAGAACCACCCTGCGTCCTGAAGGAATGCTGAAGAGCTGGAAACCTTTCTGAGAGGCTTCTCCGCAAACCTGTGGGCATTGCTTCCTGAAACTGCAGGCACGGACCGGGCAGAGGCTGCCGAGCTGTTGGCCCGCGAGTTCCCAGTGCTAGGCAGCCAGATGGCAACTGACCTTTTTTGCCCAGTCCTGCGTGGAACGCTTAGAGGAATAGATCCCAGGTTCTAATTCCAATTCCTCTGTGTGAACTATGTCAAGCATTTCACTTTCTATGTCTCCGATTTAGCTCTAAATTATATGGACAACATAATGATTTGACCTTAAACTTGACAGTATCGTTTTTAACTTTCCAAAGGACTTTTGCATACTCCATCTGGTATGTCAAGGACAGCAGGAGGACAAACAAGAAACTGCAGCCAACCACTGGCTGTTAGGCCAATGGAACAGTGGTATGACTAGCCACAGATACATTTACTAAATAATTTACTCTTGACTTTGAAAAGCATTCCATACAGGATTTTTTTTTTCCTTTGTGTATTTGCTTTCTTGATGGCATTTGGCTCTGGCTAACATTCAAGTAAGTATGCATTTCTTAAGCAAATATTAACTTGAAGCCGGGAGGGTAGAGAAACTGGATGGGTATGGGAGGAGGAGAAAGCAACTTAGTGTGAAATATCAAGAAGCTATTAAATAATTGTCATGATGAAAAAGCACATAGGGGTATTTGGAAATAAGTGTTATGGCCATTTTAAATGGTTATTGCTTATGTTCTACAAGGCTGGTAAGATCCAAAGAAGAGTCGCTCTATGAAGTTGAAGGTTGAGGGGAAAACCAGAAGGGAAATGGAAATGTGAGAAATTTGGCTTGAGACCTTTGCTGGCATGTATCTCAAATCTCTTCCTAATATTTGAGATACTTCAGAGTTATATATTTCCAGACCCAGTCAGATGGCCAGGGAAGATTTCGAGACAGCCCTAAATACATCCTGGGAGATGGTTGTTAGAACAACACTACCAGTTCCCAGAGCTCCTTAAAGAGCCATTGTCGGTTGGCAAAAAACGAGGCTTACATATCAAAGGAAGCCCCAGGTATAGGCTTTGGAAGCCCTGAAGTCAATTCCAAGGGTTCCCTGAACAAAATCTTCTTCATTGCCCTTTTCTTCCTAAAATAGCCTTGCCAAAGATTAGCCAACTCTGAATTTCTCCCTTGTGGATGAAGCACTTTGAAAACCTATAATCCCTGCCACATTCTGTGTTCGGTGGTATGGAACTGCCCACACTGGCCTCAGCCTAACAGAAACAGAAAGAGGTCTCTGGGGTCTTATCTTCTCAGGTCAAAAAGAAATGATATACAGGCTGTCTGCACTTTGGATTGCGTGTGTGTGCGCGCGTGTGTGTGTGCGTGTGTGCGTGTGAGTGCGCTGCTTTCTCTATTCGATTTTTACATACCAAAACTCACAGACTATATTAAACATCCTTGACATTTGGGAGAGATCCTTATAATCCTTTAATTTCCAAGTAGCTCTATAGGATATAAAGCAATAGCGTATAAATTTTCAAGGTTACTATGTATGTGATGAACACCAAGAACCAAAGAATGCCTACGTTCGGACGTACGGCGGACTTGACTCTTTCACAGCAGCCTTAGAGCAACTGAGATTTAAGTTCAGTTGCTGTACTACATGTACTACATGTGCTACATGTAGTACATGGCATGTACTACATGCCACTCTCTGTTAAACACGATGACTTTGGGAGATTCGGAATCTCTGCTCATGGAGACAGGCTGTTTCTTTTCCACACAGAGGTACGTGCTACGCGCTGTCTGTGCCTGTCCTGTACTCTTCCAGAGGACCCTATGAATTCGCTGTTTACATTATCCCCACCCTAAAACTGAGGAGACTCAAGTTTACAGAAATTAAGTAATTTGCCCAAGGCCATTTGGCTTCTAGGTGGAGAATTCAGACCTGCTCGGCTCCAGAACCCAGGCTCCTAATTACTCTGTTCTCTTTGATCTTCACAGAAGGAATGCGGCTTGCTTGCTGCAGGAGACTTCGGGAACACCAGTGCTCGGGGATCTACCATCCATCCTTTCCACCGGGACCTCTGATCACGGGCCCTCGCTCTCACCTCAACTTAGCCCCCAATGAATGAAACCTGGGAGCAAGTCTCATCTGCCCTCCTGCTCTCTGGGGGCGGTCCCACTCTATTCTCTAGAAAACCGGAGTGACTCAGAGGCACAAATGCTCAGGGGTGTGATTCATGCCCTGATGAGGAAGATGAAAGCTGAGGAGCAGTGAGGCTGGCGGGCAGTGGGCAGGGCAGGGCATGGGCGGGGCAGGCGTGCAGAGAGCCGGCGGGCGGCAGGACTGAGGGTACGACAGGACTGAGGTACGTACAGATCCAGAGCGGGTGGACGTGGTGCTCATGATGCTGTCACAGCTGCTGACGCGGGTCACGGGTTCTGAGCCAGGCCCCGCCGGCCACAGCTCGCTCTGGGGCATCGCCCGAAGCAAGGTGCGGGGGGCGGTGAAAGGGGCTCCCAGAGGGGAAGCGAAGGGAAGTGGAGAATGTCCCAAGCTGGCCTGAAAAGACAAGAATCAAAGCCACGTGTGAGCCGAGCTGAGGCTCTCCGGCAAGGCTCTGCCCAGGCCCTGGAGCAGCGTGGCGGCGGGGACGCCCAGCAAGCAGAGCGCTGGAAGGGGTCGTGCACAGGGGTCCCCCAAACCTCCCAGCCTGCGTGGAAGGACACAGAACCGGGCTCGCACTCATGCAGAAGGGCGGCGTTAGCGGAGGTGGGGCGGAGAGGGCGGGGTGGCAGGGAGGAGTAGTCTGGTCGGAGAGGAAATTTCATCACTTCTCCTAGTGGCCTTCTTTCTCTCAATCTGGGGGCTTAACCTACATTTCCATGACTACAAACAATACAGAGCAAGGGGCCCATAGCATGGGTTCTGGAGGTAGTCAGATCTGGATTCAAATCCCACTTCCACCATGGCCAGTTATGGGACTTGAGGCCAATTACTCTTCTACCCCGTTTTTCCCATTAAATTGGGCGAATGGTTAATGAGAACAGCACAGCTTAGTTGGTAGTAAATGCTCATTTAATGAATAAGATAAGATCTGCTACTGTTCTTATAATAAGAGAAAGACAAGATCCACCTAGGATCAAAATGAATTGAAGTCGGGCAAGAGTTTAGAGAAGAAGGGTTTGGTTTAAGTGGGAGAGAAGGAACAGGGTCCTCAATCGTACCAACCACATAGGGTTGTCAGAAACATGTACCAATAGACTCCACATAAAACACATTGTGCAGTAGCAGTTAGCTGTCATCCAAGCCAACACCATCAACATCAGCCCCCACTCCCACCCCAACCATGGCCACCATCAATCACCTCCCTAGGCCGGGGGGCGCACACATGACCCCAGAGGCTGATACAAAGCCAGTTTCTCTCTTGCGTGCCACCCCTCTGATATTGTGCTAATTTCCAGTGAGGTTCCCTAACCTTTGTCAAATGAACAAGAGAAATGGCCTACATAGCTTCCTCCTGACTCCAACTCGCAGGGGCAAATAAGTTTCCAGTTCACTGTACCAATAGTAATAGCAAAGGAAGGCAGTACCATCTTCCTTCTGAAAAATCTCAAGGTCTGGAAAGGTCCCAGGTGACTCTCTTATGTTAAAATGAAATCCTGGAAGAACTAAGTTTAAAAGACGGTTGCAAGGTCAAGTCGAGAATATGCAGAGAGCTAGAATTGAAATCCAGTTTGTCTGGTTCTGAATCCATATTTTTCCATGACACCATGCTGTATTTTCAACTACCTTTCCTACCCTCCCAATCGTAGGTAAAATGTCCTAGCAGTAACGTGTTCTGTTTGAGATCTTGGGACCTGGTGTTTGGATCCCGGGGAGGTTGTCCCTTCAGCTTCTTCCAACTATTGCTTCCAGTGCCAAGTCAGGTTTGGGCTGTGCTGGGTGAGTCAGCCTACCAGCCCTGTAGAGCCGATAAGCACGCGGCCTCGTGGTGCTCCTCTCCTGCTTTGGAGGAGGCCGGCAAGTGGGGCAGGTAGGGAGGGGCAGGACAATGGGGAAAGAAGAGGAAAATATCCCAGTGAGCCAGATGCATGGAGTTCATAAATATCCAGACCCTCTCAGGAGTTAGAGACAGGACCAGAGGGGACAGAGACACCAAAGAAGCACAGTGACAAATCAACATTGGGTAGGGCAGTCCTTCAGTTTACTCATGAGGTTACTTTCCCAACCTCAGAACTCCAAAGAAACAGAAACATGAGAAATCATGTGGATGGAGTGCAGTCACCTCAGCTATCCACTCCATTCATGACTGTCTAGATCCAGAAGGTACCCATTCTTAACATTCTGTAGGGCTGAGATCCTTACAGCCAAAGAGGTCCATTGCTCATAAGCCTAGGCACACAGAAGGCACTCAAAAAATGCTGGACAAATGACTATTGAGTTAAGCTGTTGGAAGGCCTTCTTTTTTTTCTTTTCTTTTCTTTTTTTTTTTTTTTTTTTTTTACTTTTACCCTATTACTATAAAGTCTTTCCTATGTATCTTATTTCCCTGAGGATATATGGCTCAATGGAATTGGGCCAATGCTTCAGTTAAACTAACATTTATGAGCACCTAAGAGGCATGGAACAAGCAAAAATAATAAGGCAAGGGCATTGTTTCCAAGCTGCCAGTGTAAATCCAAGGGTATAGTTTTTGGCTCTAGTTCTCTTAAAAAGTTTCTGTACAACTATAATTATTAATTATTAATACTGTACTTAATACAGTAACTATTGATGCTTTATTAATCACTGTAGTTAATATCATATTCTCTGTGAATGGGTGACCAGATGTTGCCTCTTCCTTTCAGAAACAGTTCCTACCCTTGTTCTTTTAAGTACTCTTCGGACTGTACGGTAGCTTGCTAGCTTCTCCTTCCTCCTGGGGCAACCTGTCACACTCACAATTTCGGGACTAAGTAGCTGGAAGTAACTCAAGTAGCTGGAAGAGAGAGAAACAGCATGAACAGCGCCGCTTCAGAAACACACAGCCCAGTATAGCTTACAAAGTGCTTTCAGACATGCTGCTGAGATCTTCAGAAGAGCCTGATAATTGAGGCAAGATGTGATACTTTCTTCTTTGACCAATGAGAAATCCGGAGCCCTTTCCACTTCCCCTTCCACAGGGAAGCAGGGGATGACCTCTCACAGCCTAGATAGGACGCCTATGGGTCCAGCCCTTCCTGGGACTCGAGAGAGCCATGTACCTAAAGAAGGGTCATCAGCCACCCCTGACTAAACGCTAAAAGCTCGAAGATCACCCTTCTCTTTCTACTTCACACCTTAAAGCCTTGAAATCATCTGATTCTGCTTTATGCTTCCCCGCCAGCTGTATGTCCCCACAATAGATGTTTCCAGAGTAAACAAATGACAACAAATGTCACTGAAGATTGTGTCATCGGGCACTGGGGCCCCTGCAGAGCTAAACCTGAACCTCAACCAAGGCCAAATGAGCCCTAAGGTGCTTGTGTCTTGTCTCCAGGCCTCATTTTCTGATCCAAAGAGCCAGAACCCTAAGAGTCTCCTCTCTACACCCCACCCATCCTTCCACTCTCCCTCACCACTTTGGCCAGACCTGGATGCTGCATTTCCTTCCACCAACTTTACAACTTTGAAACTTGGGGACTGTCTCAGGGCAGCCATTGAAACCTGAGGTATTCCTACCTGATAAGAAGTCTGAGAAACAAGAAAAACACTCAAGGTGAGAGTTTAATATCTTTTAACCCTTGACCTCTTTGGGGGATTGGAGGGGAGGAGAAAATGGGTTATGAAATAGGCATAGCCTATAGCCAGGGCCATCCATGCCAAAGCACATTAAACATTAACTACTCCACTGAAACCAGCCAAGTCTTGGAGGAGAGTAAATAGAGAGCATGTGGGGTTCTGGCATGGGTGGGGTTGCATGGGGTTCCAGCCCCATTCCTCTTTGGCTTCTCTGTATCTTCTAAACAGGCCCAAGGCCCCTTGTCACCCTCCTTCTGTGAGCCCACCCCCATATCTCTCAAGAGCTCAACTTCTCTCCGCACTAGTCAAAGAGTTGTCCTGTTTCTCTCAGACCATGTGCTTGCTGACTATCCAGAAATATGCCTCCAGCTGGGGAACATCTGAAGAAAACTGCCAGGAGGACTAAAAGCTGCACTGCATGTATATGCTTCTCCATGAGCACATGGCCAACTTTCTGAGTGTTTAGTCAAAGTTATAATCTTCTATTTCACAGGTGGGTTTGAGGCAAAGGCTCGGTGGACCTATCTTCTGCACAGAAGAGCTTTGCTAACACTCCAGATTATCTTATCTCTGACAAGTTCACCATCAATGGCAGCCTTCACTCAGTGAGTTTGGTGGGCTGGTTCTGTGGTTTGGGCTCAACTCAAACCAAAACCTCCAGCTACCAGGACTAGGAAACCCAGCACACTGGCTTGGGGCTGGCAGGTGCCAGGCCCCGGGGGCCTGGCACAGGGGTCTTCCCACTTCGCTCTTTCCTGCAGCAGGAGGAAAAGAGGCACAGTTAGGGACCGGAACGTTAACTCCTCCCTGCCCAAGGTGGATTGTGGAGAGCTGACTTGCTACTCTGAATTGACTTCGACATCCAGCTTCCTTGTGCCAATAACCTGCCACGCACGCTGTTGGCGGGGACCCCCGGAAGAAAACAAAGCCAAGCCACCACGGCAGTCTGGTTCTCCTCTCTGTGGGCTCTGCCACCCTACTTTGGCCCGAGCCCTACTGAGAACGCCCACCAGTTTCAAGGACTACCGTGAAATATTAATGTTGGTGGGCCTCCTGGCACAGCCCAGCGAGCGGCTTCCGGTTTGCCAGTCTCTGTGTCTAATAGCAGGCAGAGTCAGAACATTAACTGAGTTGAATCCAAATAAACTCAGCTTTGCACCTAGATTATCCGTGGGTTTTCCAGAGATGAACTGGTAGTCCGAGGTGGGGTTTTCTGAGCCTCACATCACCTTACAAACAGTCTTACATGCTTGTCCAAAGAGAGCTCCATTGTCATGGTACCCTTACTGAACACACACATACACTGCACCATTTATTTAAATAAAAGTAGACATTGAGTTGATAAAGCCAGGGGGAAATGTCCTGTTAGAAATGGAATGGAGAAACTAAGGCACTTTTCTCTCCTGGGAGAGCCCCCATTTTGACTCCCTGCACTCTATTCTTTTCCAAGAATCACGACTCAATTTCAATTGCTCAGAGATGGAAATTTCCAAAACAAGCCTTTGTATTTTCATGTTGACTGCAAAATGTGCTTATCCAACTGAAATAGGCAGATGAAAAAAAAAAAAAAAAGCATCCCAACCCTGGTCTCCACAAAATCATTCCAGTCTTAAGAAACTATCAGCCTGCTCTGATCCCAGACTGGACGTACAGAGTTGAGAAACAGAGAGGAAAGCCCCCTGGCTGGGGTGCACAGGGCTCCCCACAACCCTGTGGCTCTCACTTCCCACGAAGCACCCCTTCCTGCTGAAGCATAAGCAATAGTTGGTTAGTGATTAACTCACCTTCACTGGGTGAGG